ATCCGAGTAGACAATGGAATTACTTCAAACTGCAAGACCAGGTGACACATGTTCGATTCCAAAATGAAGTAACAATTCCCTAAAGATTAGAGATATATCTAGCTGATGAGTTCAAACTAGCATATAATCCAAATCCATCATGATTTCATATCGACTATACTCGACCTCCTGATAAATAAAAATTCATATTAATTCTTAGATTTTGTTTCAAGGTCATTAAAATTCAGAATAACTAATCCAAAATTACAGTCTTGTTTCAATTTCATATTGAAAATCGATCTCAATAATTATAAAATCAAATCCTTTTTTTATCAAACAAATTCCTTGAATTCCAAAAACCTTCCCACCACATACACTTCAAATTTATCAGTTCTAAAATAAACTCCTGCTAAAAATAACAAATCAGTAAGGATATTTCTAATATTTAATATGATTAATTAATTTTCGCTATTAATTATATTTTATTACAACTGATTTTAGTTACTATACATCAATTGATATTTCGTTTCAGTGGTTGAGATCAAGAATCAGTTGAAGCTAGACCACCATGGAAAACCTGAAAGCATTGGACTGCCGTTTCGTCCTATTGTGAGACTCCTCAGCATTTTATTATGAATCACTAATTGGATGATTACAAGTTTACATTGAAAATTACCATCTTTCTTTTCATAAAGTTTTTTTATATTAAGTAGTTATTGTATATAATAACTGATGATTACAATAGAATGTAATTGGTTAATAAATAAACAATTATTTTAAAATAATTAAATTACTTTTTATTTAGATCATTTTAATTTTAGTGATCATATCTTGTTGAGTTAAAATGATCTCAATCGAAAACTTAATAATCTCCACAATTCCTATACTAGTAATTAACATGTGCTTCGTGAGGGAATTCTCGGAGTTCTAGTGAGAAGCCGTGACCAGTGGAGCTAATCCATGTCGGGTAGAGACAGGTATCTACCTCAGTACAATGGAAGATGGTCGCGCAATTTCGTGGATTGGTTGATGTTAGATACTATCACCATTGGATGCTGGCTTAGTGGTCTAGTAGGTTAAGCATTCGCTCGCGAGACCGAAGGTCCTGGGCTCGAATCCCGCGAGCGGGATCGTGGATGCGCACCGCTGAGGAGCCCCACAATAGGACGAAACGGTCATCCAGTGCTTCAAGGTTTCCAAAGGTGATCTAACATCAATCGGTTCATGATTTCAATCAAAAACTTAATAATCTACACGACCCCTATACTAGTAATTAAAATGAATAGTTTGATTTTTTGTTCTGTGATTCATGAATAATCGATATATATATATATATATATATATATATATATATATATATATATATATATATATATATATATATATATATATATATATATATATATATATATATATATATATATATATGCATACATCGACTGTGCTTTAAGTTAACCACTATTTCTATCATGGATACTTGTCTTGTATTAAGACAAATGTTTCTGAAGGTCAACCATGCAATATTAATCAATAAAAGTTTCTGTAAAGAATGCGAATGAATATTGATGTAAATTAATCTTCGTCTTTTCTTTTTTTACTTAAAAGAAACATTATCAATTATCACATTTCTTTTCTCTTAATGTATGGTCTATTTAATAAGCTAGTCAAATTGAATTCTTCAAGCATTTCCATAGACTTCTTATTCATTAGTTATTAAATGACAATAAATATATAGAAAATTTTAATGTTAAATGTTTCTCTGTACTCTAAGTATGTTAATGGGATTTCTAAACTGATATTATTAGTAATGATAAGGTCACTAAATTCATTACTGTGATTATCAATCAATTTATAAGGCACGTAAATTTCCACTTTTGCAAACATTGAGAAAGAACAGAAAAGGCATAGAAGAGCAGATACAAATAACGTTTCAAAACATACGTAATTGTAACGGTAAACTACAAAACTAGAACTCATTCTAAATAATAAATCTTAGCAATTACATTATAAGAATATTTCTGATGTAAAGATGAGTGTCACTTTTCTAGCTAATTGGTTGATAACTAAAGACAGTAAAAGATATGAAAAAAATAAATGATAGTGAGAAGCCGTGACTAGTGGAGTCTAATCCATATCGAGTAGAGACAGGTATCTATATCAGATAATAGATGAAAGGTTGTGCAAGATCATGGATCGATTGAAATTAGACATTAACACAGTTGGATGCCGGCTCAGTGCTCTAGAGATCAAACTCTCGCACGTGAGGCCTATGATACTAGGTTCGAGTCCCACGTGCGGGATCGTGAATGCGCACTGATGAGGAGTCCTATACTAGAACGAAACGACTGTCCAGTGCTTTTAGGTATTCAACGGTAGTTTAGCTTAGATCGACTAACGAATTCAACGATTAAGATATTATATCCGTTTAACATCAGGCACACTTGATAAACCCCACCATCCACATCATTTTCTAAACGATTCAATTACACATTATATATGTGAACTGTTTTATTGTGGTTTTCAGATTAATGAATTTTAAATCAATAAGTTAAAGGTTACACATATTCGACAATAAATCTGAATATCCAATGTTCAATTATCGATACAATGTAACAGACAAAATAAACTTTCAATCCTCCCTAATATTTTTTTTGTTAATTAATCATCACTTTATATGATTTAGATCATCCTGAGGAAGTCTATTCAACAATAAAAACAATATAATAGTTGAATACATGAGTCCATTGAAGCTACATCACTATGAAAAACCTGGAAGCACCAGATAGTCGTTCAGAAATGAATAAACTGTACAATAAAATGTATATGAACAAATATTTACTGTGTCAATTATTATTTTGATAGTTTGATTAATTGAAGAAAAGGCATTGCTTATTTAAAGTAATCTATTCAATATTTAACTAATTAGTCGTATGTCAGTCATTCAGTCAGCTACAACGTAGGACCAGGCACATATATGCATTGGTTCAAGTTGCCATACCTCATTTACACAACAAGATGGACACCGGATTCATAAAAGTAGTTAATTCAGAGGTGATAATATATAAAACAAAGATTGCAATAAGGATATAGTACAGAAAGAAAGAATTAGTTCATAGAAATAAAGATATGAAGCGATTTTAATCTCTTAGTTTAAGGGAAGACAGAGAGTGTATACACCGACGCCATTGTGACCGATTCTTAGCTATGTCACCAATAGTCTCCAACCATTGGTTACAATAGTCACGCGGACCACAACCAAATAGTCTGCATCTACCAACATGGCTCAGACTACAAGTTAGTGACTTCAAGCACTGATGCCACGTTTTGGTTTGGCCGAATTAGTCATATGAAAAGTAATAAATATTCATAATGAAGAATGAGATGAATTAAACAATTAATAAACATATTTCTTTAGTCAACAACTAAAATATACCCAATAATTATAATAAATGGGAATAAATATTGTATTTCTGGTTTTGTTAACTAACTAATCAATATATTTTGCTGGTGACTGGCCTATGATCCTTCACTAGAGATAAGAGGTATAAGTAAGTAATCAATATTTTAACATTCTTTTAGATTTTGATTTACTATACTAGAATATATTTTGTTAGGGAATCAATAAGATAGGTAAGGAAACTATATTTATGGTAATTTAATTGATATATATATAGTTTAAAGTGGAAAACTTAAAAAGATAAGGATCATTGTTACATCTTTATTGATACTGTTTTCACTGAATTTTCAGTTTCTTTCTAGACAATATTATCATTGATTGAAATCATGAGTCAATTGAAGCTAGACCACCATGGAAAACCTGGGAGCACTGGACGGCCGTTTCATCCTAGTATGGGACTCCTCAGCAGTGTTCATTCACGATCCCGCACCCCGCGGGACTCAAACCCAGGACCTATCAGTCTCGCGCCAGGTGCTTAACCAACCAGACAACTGAGCCGGCATCCAACGATGTTAATGTCTAACTTCAACCAATCCACGAAGTTGCGCCACCGTACACCATTGTCTTCAGTGAGTTGATATCTCACAACAGACTTGGTTGAACTCCATTGGTAACGGCTTCTCACCGGAACTCCAGGCCGTTCAGTGCTTCCAGGTTTTCCATGGTGGTCTAGCCTCAATTGACTGATGATTTCAATCAGTGAAATTTCTAAAATTTCCACAAAACCCCTCCTGGTAATATTATCATTATCAGAAGAAATGTTAGATAGAAGTGAACTATTCAAAATTATCCATGAATAATCAACAGCTTGTGTTTTGATCTACCTTAAATTTGAATGAATTTTGTCAAAACAACCTACTCAGTTAATAATGAGTAGTTTTATGATTCATTCAACCGATTTTCATTGAAATTTCTGCTACTATATATAACTCTATGTTAAAGTTGATAAGTTTGATAAATTCCAATTATTAAAACACAAATTAGAATCTTGCCTCACTTATTTCAGTATAAGAAGCTAGAAGATGAGTACACAACCTTGTACCTAAGTAAATGAGTTACAAGATATTGAAATAAAACTATATTTTCTATAAGGAAATCTTAACTGATATTATTTACAAAACAATGCGTATTTAACGTTTGAAAAATTGTCTTCACAACTATCAGAATCTATGCTGAACAATGTTGATAACTAGATAGTATTAAACAATTATTTAGTCATTGTTTGGTAATTCACTGTAGTATATACTCATTACTCCATATAATATAGAGTTACTTATCCAAAGTCATTTACTTTCAAATCAGTGGCTTAATGATAACTAAAAGTTTTCAAATCCAATACCTCATGAGATAATGGGTGAATACTATGAAGGTGTCCCTTACTAGGATGAAACAGGTATGTTATCCAGGGTTAATTACATTTCAGTAGATTTGTAATTGACGTTAATTTATTATAATAGTATACTTTAAAATAAGTGGATTGCTTCACAATGTTACCCTCTTTGATAGATCGATTTAACAGTCCGACTTAAACACATAAATAATGTTAAAAATTGTTTACACTTACCGAATTGATTATTTCCATTATTATTGGAATATCGTCATCGTGTTGACATTGTATAACAACACGTCTCATTTCAATAGAAATAGTTTAGGCTAAAACCTTGATTTATTTTCTTCACTTATGTGCAAATAAAATTATCAAATCAATGATTAACCAATAAGGATAAAGATTAACATGACATTTGATTGGTTCATTTGAAAGTGTCTGCTATTCAAACCTTTACGTAGGAGACAGTTCCAAAAATCAGTTTGTTTTGTAAATTACATTTAAATCAATAAGCCGATTGAAGAATACCTGTCTAAATTTATAAATATAAGGCCACAGTTTTATTGAGGATGAATTAATCAAAGCATGTAAATTTAGTTTAATTACATTTACACATTCGTTAATGATAATTAGTAACCCAGTATTTCAACATTCTTATATTTTCTAACTGATTGTATGAACAAGAAACAGCTTAGTTTTGTGTATTGAAAGGGAACTAATGATATTGTACATAGTGACAACCTTATTTTTCAAAAACACTATTTATTGTGTTATCTAAGAAATTAAACAAAAAAAAGATAACAAAATGAAATTACAGTAATACATTATGAGATACGCAGAGAGAACACATCTTAGGATCTAGGTTTTCGAAATGATAAAACTATAAGTTAGTGATTGAAGGTAGTCGATAGAAAACTCTGAACCTAGGTCTCGTTTTATTTGGTACTCGTTAGCAAGGTGTGTTATATCCTAGTCAAGATTAAATTACGATTAACGTCTGAGACCTATTAATGGACCAATATTATTTATACACTCCTATGGTATAAATATTCAGTAACTAGATTACGTATATCTATATTTCCCTTGTTATAAGCTTTATTTTGACCTATATATTATTATTGTACGATTTACTGTTCTTAAGCCATGTTCAGTTTATTGATTATTGTCTCCCACGTTCAGTCACTTTTTGGCTTTATTGTGTACAAGGTGTACCACTAATGTTGATGGAACTGACGCTACCCGATGAACTCAATCCTGTGTTACCTAGTTTTATAATTAGAAATGTGACCACTAGGACTGAGTAGTATTTAAAATTGGTCGATCACTCAGAAGTAAACAATATCATATCTGTCATGTCCTTCTTAGTGCTGGTGGGATTCTATCGATCAAGTTGCACCAGTTTTTAAAAAAATACAGGTACACCTTGCTGATGAATACTGAATAACACGACACCTAAGTCCAGATTTCCCTATCGACTACATTCAATCACCATCTTACATCTCAACATAGTCCACACGATATCGAGCCACTTTGATTACTGCCTGTATTAAAGCTAGGTCGATAAAATTCATTTAACACTAAGAGGGGATCCACACACATGACATTGGTTGTTATTCAGTCATCAATCAATTGTAAGTAAGAAAAATATTGATAAGCTATCGTCATTTAGTAATGAGAACCAGTTAATACGAAACTCGTTTTTAGGAATTCCCGCTTATTACCTTTAGCCTCCTAAAATCAAAACATATAAAACCAACTAGACTAATGACCACAACATTATTTGATCCACAAAATTCAACATATATTAAAACAACTAAACAAATATGACATGGGACATTATTCAGTGATCAATGTGTTTAAATGAATATCCGAACATTCATTCACATATACTGCTGCAATCCCTCAGAGACAACGATTATCAAAGATGGAGAGCCGTTTAACATCCTCAACTCGGAGAGGCCAAGTTTCACAAGCATAGAGCAAAACTGCTCTCACAAACGCTTTGTAGATCCAACCTTCTGCACTCAGACTGACATCACGAAAGCACCAAAGGTGGTCCAGATTTGCATAAGCTGCTCTGGCTCTCACCATACGTGAATTGATCTCATTATCCACGCCACAACCAGCATCTGTGCAGCTGCCTAGATACACGAACTTCTCAACTACTTCTATCTGCTCACTACCCGGGGTGAGTGCAGGATCAGGGGTCCTGTCAGTCTTGTAAAGGTACTTTGCACTTCGAAGGTGCAAAGCACATGCCATACCTATGAACACTGATCAAGTGCGGAATGAGTATTATCGCACAGTAAGACAATATCGTCTGCAAGCTTAAAGTCGAAGTCTTTGTCTAAGCAACAGAACCACGCCACCACTATCTGCATCCATCAGAGCTGTTTCCAGAACATCATCGATGACAAATTTAAAGAATGGTGAGATTGGGCGACCCTGCTTAACTCCATTGCTTGAAAGGAATTATGGAGAGGTGATTGTATGGCCTTACTCGGCCCGAGGTGTTCGCATATAGGTCTTTCAAGATGCTAGTAATCTTGTCAACCACACTCTTCTTCAATGGACAATCCCAGCGAACAGTTCTATCTAACGAACAGAAAGCGGCCCTAATGCCAAACATCATGGTTATTGACCTGTAATAAGTATGACGATGGAGGAGGGAGAAGATATGATCATTGCATCCTATCAGAACGAAAACTAGTTTCCTCCCCGCGAGTCAGTTTTTGCCGGGTTTTGAGCAATCTACGGAGTATGACGGAAGCCAATATTTTGGACCCGATCGGTAGTAGACTTATTCCCTGATAGTTGTTGCAGAAACAATGTGGACCCTTCTTAAAGATAGGGGCAAATATCGACCCATTCTACAATGCTAAAACACTCTTTAATTACCAGAAGTCTGGAAACGAATCTACCACTTCTTTCACTAGGTCCCCACCACCTTTAAAAAGGACCGGAGGCAAGCCATCTGGGCCTGATGATTTGTGGTGTTTCAAGAGTTGGAGTTCCTTGTGGATTTCCGCCCCGTTATGTGGATCAGTTGTCATCAGCCATGGAGGGCAAGACAGTCCGATCGATGTCACCAGGGTAGCAGACAAGCCGTACTGTTCCTTGTAAAACTCTGGCCATTAAACTAAGCATCTTTAGATGATATTGATTGATATCCCATTAGCTTCACGGATTGTTTCACTTATACCAGACTTTTTGTTGCCAGTGACTCGAATGAGTTGAGCCTCTGACAGTTACCAGAATCAGCTAATGCTCCCAACTCCTTAGCGCGTTTTAACTATCAAGCTTCCCGGTCAACTACGCAACGAAATTGAAATTAAAAGTGGGCTATATGCAGAGTTGAACCCGAAACATGCTTCGACTCATTTCCACACCACATTAGTACAGGGGGATAGAAGTATCTAGATAAGTCCCAGGGCAGTAGTAACAACAGTATCAGCAATAATAGGAAACATCGTGTAGAGAGAAAAAAAGTAAGGTTTTGAGACTAAGGGACTAAGAGAAGGCAATAAATTCATGCACTTGTGGACGATTCTGAACCATGTCACCCAAAGTCTCTAACCACTGGTTACGACAATCACGTGAACCCCAAATAGGTAAACTACAGTTATTAACATGGTTCAAACCAAATGTTGATGACTTCATAGGCTGATGCCATATTTTGGGTTGACTGTCTCTAGATTTCTTCCAACCCACTTCTGTACTAGTAAGCATTGGTTGTCAAGGTGGGTGGTAGTTGTGAAAACGTAACGTACCCCAACCACTTTAGTTTATGAAGATTCACTACCATGTCAACTAATTTTTCATCTTGATTAAAAGTAGGAAGTATGTCAGTTAGCTACAACATAGGACCAGGTACATATTTGCATCGGTCCAAGTTGCCACACTTCATTAGCACAAGATGAACACCAAGTTCATAGTAGTTACTTCAATGGTAAGAAAGATTGTGTATAACGATATAATACAGGAAGAAAGAATTAGTTCGTAGAAATAAAGGTATGAAGCAGTTTTAATCTCACTACAGATCTACTGGTTGTTATGAGAGATGACTGAAACTAGTGATTTGATGATACAGACAGTGTGGTTTGTGATCAATGATAGTCTCTCTTTAATTGTCACCTGATAACATAGTTATCATTATCATAATCGAAGTATAACCTGGCAAAAATGTATGCATTGCCCCAACTTACAATACACACCAGCACAATGGATTGAATGTAAAAGGATGAACAGGAAGAGGGGAGGGATAATGTAGTAACAATAATAATCAGAAAGACTGGGGATTGATAACATGGTTAGGTAAGACAAAATGGAAAGGTATATATGAAAGAATATTGGAATTCAGGATCTAGAATAAGACAAAGAATGACTGCACGTGCTTCACTGAAACCCACTCCGAGCCATGTCACCTAACGCCTCTAATCACCAATTGCGGTTCGTTAGCATCCACTAAACATGGTTCAGATTATTAGTCAATGACTTCAGAGACTGATGCCATATGTCCATCTCGCCCCCCCTAGCTTTCTTCCAACTTACTACCATACAAACCTAACAAAGCCCGAAACAACATAATAAGCATAAAGTGAAACATGATTGTTTTTGAAGAGTACCTAGTAACGTTTGAAATATACAGAAAAAATTTCGGGCAAACACACGTTCACAATGATTATTAAAAAAATTTAGATCGAAGTGACTAATTTGCTAACAAAACAGATTCTTTGGAAAAAACGGGAGCTTTCTTTATAATTACAAGTGTATGTAAAACAACTGGTGTTTTCTAAATTGATTTTTCATAAATACTCATGAATGGAGCAATAAACACTTGGAAGAACACGTGTCCGACTTCATCGTGAATGTTAGTGTCTATAGTAGTATTAGTAGAACAGCATTTCTGACTAGGAATATACGGCAGTTCATAAGTAACAGTAACACCATTGAATTGTACATCATTTTCGTGACTAGATGCACCGTTATCTTTACTTAGCATTGTAGTAGCAGAAGATGGGCCTGTTGAAGAACTACCACTACTGCTACACGTAGTTAAAATACGTAATGATAGTTTCTAGGACAAGAAATAAAAATACTTCACGTTATGAAAATAATACACTGTTCAGTATAATAATATACAAATAGTTAAGTAGTTTAGTTCATCTCGTCGTATTAATGTGGTACAACAAGTTGAAACACGGTAAATTTGCACCAAGCTCTACGTTAATGACTGACTGAAAATTTAGAACAGTGTAATTCACCACACTTTCATCAGACGATAACTGATCGCCTCATACAGGTGA